AGCAGGTGAGAATTTTAGTTGAAATTTGAGCATAGCCTTATATTTACCTATAGATCAGCTGTTTTCTCCACTCCTTTTGAAAAAGTTAAAAAGTGTTTTCTTGCAGTGGGAGATGGAAGAATGGGGTATGCAGAAGAAGCTCCCTATGATGCGATACATGTAGGAGCTGCAGCACCAGTTGTGCCCCAAGCAGTAAGACTTTGTTTTCTGTATCTGATTCTGGAAACTCTTTTTTTTTTTTTTTCCCCCCGTAAGGATTTCCTTTTATGTTTAATGTATAAATTTTTAATTAAAATACTTGATAGATGTGCACAGCTGGAGTGCCACTAGGTAAGATAAGTATATGGTGTAGTTCTTCTGGATTTGTTGGAATTGGCTTCCCATATCTTTGCGTATGTTGTATGATGTAATAACTTCCCTGGAAATACATATGTATTTTTAAGTGATCTGTTCACCATCTGTATTACTACAATGAAATTGAGTGATTTGTTTAATAAAGTATCTCTATCAACACTGAATTATGAAATTTAAATCTCTTAACAACTTCCTCCTCCTTTAACCTCAAAAGAAAAAAAAAGTTTCCAAGCAATTACTTCACATGTTCTGTTAGTTGTCATTTTATGCTACTCATATTTGGATATTACAGACTAGTTTCATAAAATGCAACAACCGCATTCACAGAATGGAAGAGGGGCCTGTTGGGTGATGAGTTTATTTATTCCAGAAAGATAAATAAACTAAATGTCACAAATCTGAAATCTCTGGTAATTATATGAAATTACTGTGAATTTTTCTGTAATATTAGTTGTTTGATATGTTGTGTTACTGTTGTATTCATTTTTTTTTTTGAATTGAAGTAGTTATGACCTGCATAATCATAGATAAAATGTGGCAAAACTATTCACTTAGTACAATGAACATTATATCTGTTTCTTCTGCCGTGTCTGGTTACACTAATTTCTGTGTTGTGTTCTAGCTTATAGATCAGTTAAAACCTGGCGGAAGATTGATACTACCAGTCGGTCCTGCAGGAGGAAACCAGATGCTTGAACAATATGACAAACTAGAAGATGGCAGTGTCAAAATGAAGCCTCTGATGGGAGTGATATATGTGCCTTTAACAGATAAAGAGAAGCAGTGGTCCAGGTGGAAGTGATTTTCTGTTCCACTTACTCCTTCCACACACACGCAAGGTGAAAGGGTGTGAATTTTAAGCAGATAGACTGCAAGGCCTGCCTTTGCTGCTGTCATTGCTTTCTGCTCTTCCATACCATGAAAAGTGACTCAGTCTGCATTCCTACATCACCAAAAGGAGGTTATGATAAGTTTAAGTTAAATTAAAAGTGGAAGAAAAATATTGCATGGGGTTGCACTTTGTCTCTTTTGGACTCATGTTTTCTGTAGTCATTTGTTGTGTTGAAGTTTCTCACTTGCTGTCTCGAGGAGAAGTGTTTTCTAAATCTAAACTTCCCTTCTCTGAACTCTTTAAACTAGCCTTCCCAGTAACTATGGTAAAGTGCTTCAGAATAAGTGTTGTCTTGTTCTGCAAGTTCATGTTAATTGAGAGCTCATTTTGTGTGTGTGTGTGTGTATCTGTGTATCCGTGTGTGTATATATATATATACACACGCACACATATATATTTAATTTTACAAGTGAAGAAAAATCTTTCTAAGATCTTAATGGGGCATTATAGGTAATCTCCTGAGTACTTTTTCCTGGGCCACCAAGTACCAAATATGGAAAAGTTAATTCCCTTCTTAAAGAATAGAGACTGTTCAGTAGTGCTCAGAAGATTTTTCTCTGACATGTTAATAAAAGTCTGTCACCTGTTTCTTATGACAAGAGGCATATTTGCATTCTCCAGCACAGCAAACTCTAAAGGCCTTCTTAGAGGTAGGAAACCTTCCAGTTTGCTAAATTGGATGGCCAATAGCATAGACATAACGCTGCATGCAAGTGAAAAAAGCAGCAGTCCACTTCTGCTTCCTGGACAGAAAAAAAACTTGTGAATGTATTAGCTGCATTAGTGAAGTGTGTGCCTGTGTACTGAGCTCTGAAAGTAACTTTCAGGCTTTAAAACTCTTAAATTTTGATTTATTCTTTTTCTGGATATTCTGAAGTGTAGCTTGTGGTTTGCCTACTTCAACACTTTTTAAGTTACCAAAATGTATATAAAAAGTTCAAATAAAGTAGTTTTCAGTTAGGAGCAGTAAACCAGACTCACTTCAGTGTTTGGTGGATTATGTGTAGCCGCCATGTACAAATTACTTCTAGAAAAACTTTAATGAATTTAACAACTTTTAATTCAAAGCCTGGGAAGCCTGCTGGCTATTCTGCTGGTTCGTGTTTGTGATGCAGATTGACACGTTAGCCTCGCACCGTGCTGTGGTCCTCCTGGGCTTTCCCCCTCCGTGCAAAGCTTTGGAAATCGCGTCCTGTGATTGGTTTCCTCCCTGGCAAACATGAGGGACCTCATTCAAATGAGAATTCTGCTCTCTGCTTACTTCAAAAAGAAGCATGTTATTTCTGAGCCTTTCTTTCTTTTCCAGAGAGATTTTTTTTCATTTCCACTTGTTCTCTTCACATCAACGAGTGCTGCTGTTTTATAAATAGTGTCTATTGAAGGGTTTCTGGAATGTGCCTGTACACATTCCTTTCCACTAGTAAGGGTGGTATTGAGCATTTAGAGCTAGGACTAGGAGGTCTTTGCAGCTCTTCTCCATGAAATTTTGAACTCCTTTTTCTGTACCAACTCAGGAGGTTGAGCAATAGATTGTCTTTGGGCCTTCCTCGCTAGGTTTTCCTTTGAGTTTCTATTCTTATGCAAGGTAGTTCTCAAATTATTTATTTAGTAGCAAGAATATATATTGGTGCTACCAGAGAATGTGAGCGAAGAATATAAGTAACAAGAAGGGATACTGTGATCGTTGCAGTGCCATAGAGGTTTTTCCTTCCTGTATATGTTCAAATTCGCTTCAGATTTGGGAATCTCTATTAAGGATAGCTCTAAAATGTCACAGTTTTGTAACATTTGTTTATTTCTAAGTTACCCTCCCATGCTCTGAAGAAGATTCCCATTCACAGAATCATAGACTCACGGAGTGGTTGAGGTTGGAAGGGACCTCTAGAGATCACCTAGTCCAACCCCCCCTACTCAAGCAGGGACACCTAGAGCATTCCCTTTTCAAGGGTGAGGTCCAGAACCCATTGGCAATTACAGGAGGTATCATCTCTGTCTTTTGCTGCTTTCTTTTATCCGTGAGCCCAAAGTGAGGAAGCTGATGAGGATACTGCTCTCTATGAGGCAGGACCATGCATATGTTGCAGTGATTATTGCTATCCTCTAGCAGAACTACAGGTGCTCGTTATAAACAGGCACAGCAGTGTAAGTATGAGGCTGTTACCAGCCACTACGCGGAGTTAGAGAAATTATGAGTCATCTTCTTGAGGCTTTTCTCCTGCCTGGAGCAGGTTAAATATAATCTCCCTGACTCTTTCTCTCTAAAAGCCTCTCAAAAATAGGTGAAAAGAAATGCTTTTAAATTATTCACAAGCATCATGAAAACACAATCTGGCACAGTAAATAGAATAAGATACAGAATTATAACTTAAAGGTGGTTTTAAACAAATCGTTTTCTCTCGCTTTATCTCTAATACTGGGTATACTGCATGATATTTAATCTCCAAGTGGTCCTTGAAGTTAAATTTGCCTTTAGATGCTTTGCATCATTCTTGTATGTATAGAGGTGGAACTTGGAGCAAAAGAAAATTTGAACTGAATAAAAGGATCTCAAACAGGGTATTCACTAAGTGACGTTGTGCTGATATTGAGAGTCTTATGTTGCAAATATTCTTGTGTTTCTTTAAGATTAGTGATTTTTTTCTGCTTTTGATTCAGCCGCAGTGGTGTGGTAGACTGCAAATAGGAATGGGTGTCTTCCAAATGTCCTACACGTTTAAGAAGTAGGAGTGTACAGTCCTACGTACAGTCTGTCTCAGGTGGGGTACAAAGTAAAGACATGTATTTGTATACCACTGATACAGTAGTATTTTACACATTAATGCGTTTACACAATTATGCAAGTAAGGATGTTTATCACTTCTCATTAAACATCCTAAATATTAATTCTGTTTATTATTGAAATAGGTGCAGGGAGGAAGTGAGACCTCTCATGCCTCACCGCTGAGGGCACAGCTTAGCGGCTGCCTTATTAGCAGTTCTTGTCTGAATCAGTATCTCTGACTTTATTTTTCTGTGGAACTTTATTCAAAACTTATATGGAGAGACAAATTAGAAAATAGTAATCTAAGAAAAGCTTGGCTTTATCTCCTAAAAAAAAACTGTTTAAAGAAATGAACGTACGACATTTTGGATTGGCTTCAAACATTGCATTAGTATAAATGATTTATAAAGGTCTTGCAAAATTCATGCTTGTTGATCAACTACGAAATCATAGTGGCCATTAGTTTTTAGAGCAAAAAGTACAGTGAATAGATGAGAGATGTTACCGTATGCCACTTATCTTCACATGTAGCATTGTTAAGCACCTTTTTGAAAAATGCATTTATCAGAGATTATTTCAACATGTTTCTCCTTAGAAAATTGCATTAATACTTCAAAGACTTCTAGTGAACTACTTGTCTAATTTCAGTTGAAATTAGTAGGAATTTTGAGTCCCGAATCGCTTAGATTATGTAGAATAAAGATTATGGTTAAAGTTTTTAATTTATTGTGGCTGAAAAAATCTCTGCAAGAAGTACTTTGTCTTAAAGGTAACTTTGATGTCATACAAGTATGCATGTGATGTGACGTGTGCAGGAGGTTGCAGAGAGAATTTTTTTTGTCATTTGAATTTTCTCACACTGATAATTCATCATAATAAATATTTTGTAAGAGCACATTACCAGATTAAAGTGCTTCAGGTGTAAATCTTGGATCTATTTTTAATTTACCTGTAAAAATTATGAAGGGAGAAATAATTGGCTACTGAAACGCCGATTAGGCAAGTGCTGCAAATTCAAAGGGTAGCTGAATCCTAGAAGTATCAGTAATGATAGCATATTTTCATAAATAATATATAAAAATGGGAAAGGCAAATGTTACCTAACAACGAGAAAGCTGAAATGGATCAAAAAGTGCAAATTGCATATATTTTTTTTATATACTGTTGATATATTTAATTTGAACTTTCCACCAAGAAGACAGAGAGAGATCCTATTTATGTAAATGTCATGACTTACCTCTGTTGGAAACTTCTTATTTCTTTTTGTTATTTGTGTGCTTTTTAAATAATGAACAGCGACATATTCCTAAAATGCTTTCTTAATTTTCTGTTGGATGCCCCCAGTAAAACTGTGGGATGTTCTTGATACTTCTGTTCCCTCCTACTAAGCCAAACTTTTAATGATTATTTTAGAATAACAATTTTGAGCTACATATATTGCC